GAACAAAATTAACCAGGCTTTTTTGAATTAACAAAGAGTGAATTAATTAATTAATTAATCAACATACAAAGAATTAATAACAGAACACATAGAGGGAGATTATTATTCTGACCCTTCAGAAGGGTCCAGACCCGAAACGTCAGCTTTCCTGCTCCTCTGATGCTGCTTGGCCTGCTGTGTTCATCCAGCTCTACACCTTCATTATCTCTTCTTCCACACCCACTTCTTTTTCAGAAAACAGTTTCTTCTCATCACTTCCCCACTTAGAATGAAGCATTCCATATGTATACATAGAACAAAAACAAAAGGCATAATGACCCACAGTGAACATCCACTGTGCTGTTTTTTTTTTTTAAATTGGTATTTCAAACCAAGGTACCATTTAACATCCTTAATCTCCACATCAGAGGTGGCTTGGCTTCCCTTTGTTGGGCGGGTAACACTCACCGAATAATCTTGACAAGTTCACTCATGTTGACATGGTCTGGAACTAAGAATTTGGTCTTGTCCAGCACTGGCAGCTGTTTTTCACCCTTGTATCTCTCAATGATCACCTATCAACAAAACAGGTCAAAGATGAAGATGCAGATATATACATTTTTAAACAAAAAAACGTTTATTAAAGTTGCAGAAGTGCCCATGCATTAGACTGGTCTTTTAATTAAATGTTGAATAAAAGGTATTCAGAAGCTGCAGCAGAATCTCCATTCCCCATTGCAATGAAGGAACCTCCACCACTCATTGTCTGTTCCCCATCAATGATGGCCATTTCTTGGATTCTAACATGGCTTTGGAGTCCAACTAAAGACCTATTTGGCTTTCTACATTATGGCCAAGGATGAATTGCCCGATTCTGTTGGAACTGCCCAGCCTTTCTGGCTTGCCTTTTTTTCCCTTAACTGCTTGAAGGTGCAAATGCCACGATTTCAGATTGCTAGCCAGGCAGTTCTTTCTTGCGCATTTTTACCCCTCAGTCCACGGTGGATGTGCCACGTTTCCTGAGGCTCACCATGAACCTTAATCTCAGCCTACCACCCTGCAGCATCCAAGTTATGAAAGCATGACCACTTTAAGGATTTTATCATCAGTCACGTTTACTACACGTCCACTTCATCCAAGCTGGGCCTTGATGGATGTGCTCCAATTCCAGACATTTCTGCTCTTTGAAGTACCTCGGACACTTTGTCCTGCCATCTGAGGCCCATAATGGTCTGAATGCCTTTCATTTAAGCAGTTGGACAGTTTTCATACGTCCAGAGTAGCAGTGCACATCTCACAGGTACACAAAGAGGGCAGGCGTTACCACAACTTTTGTTGTACATTTGATATATTGCTTTCTCTGCCGTCTCCTACATAAACCACAACAGCTAAGCTTGCCCTGGCTTTACTATTTGCCACCTTGCTTTCGACGAAATCATTGGGAGATTGGGATTCTGAGATAGGTGAAGTTACCTAGAGCTTTCTGGGTTCATCGTTAAGTAGGTGGGCAATAAGTAGTATTTGGTGGTGGCTGCAGCCAAAGTATCAGTCTTCCTTTAGCTGATGGTTAGCCTATAAGCATCATCTGTTTTTCAAAAACAGTCTGCGATCCTTTGAAGGCCATGCTCAGTGTGAGCCAAGACCAAAATCAGCAGCAAACGGCAATTTCCATGTCATCGTTTCTGATACCATAGCTGAGGTTTCAAATTGTCTCAGTGAAGACATTGCCATTTATTCTGAATTGCATTTACATTCTGTCAAGTGCCCCAGAATGCAGAATAGCAATGGATATATTGAAGAGCGCAGCGACCATGATAGACCACTAAACATCACATTGGCTACATTAAAGACAAATCATTGTATTTTCCAGTGAATGACTAGCCAACATTTCATCATGAAATTGCTGTATCTGATTTACAGTTCTATCAGAGAAAACCTACATTTGGCTAGGACTTTCCACAAGATTCCACCCTCTGGCGACTGTCTGTGTGGAGTTTGCACGTTATCCCAGTGTCTGCGTGGATTTCCGCAGATGCTCCGGTTCCCTCCCACAGTCCAGAGATGCGCAAGTTAGGTGGATTGGCCATGCTAAATTACCCATAACGTTCAGGGATGTGTAGGTTAGGTGCATTAGCCATGGGAAATGCAGGGTTCCGGGGACAGCGTAGGGGATGGTCTGGGTGGGATCCTCTTTGGAGGGTCGGTGTGGATTTGTTGGGCCGAATAGCCTGTTTCCACACTGTACGGATTCTTTGATTCCACAATTCTACAAAGGCCTCTCTTTTTACCATATCAAAAGATCTTTGTCAGGTCAACAAAGGCACAGTAAAGTCCCATCTGTTGTTTGCAGCATTTTTCTTACATTTGTCCAAAGGTGAAGACATTGGTGCAAGCACCCGCTGCATTTCCTGAAACCACAGGCAGGTTACTGAAGCAAAAGCTTGGAGGATCTCACTATTTGTATTTGGAGATAATAGGGTTCAAACAATGGTCCTTGGACTTAATGGGACTACCGGTCTTGACATTCAGTCCACAAAGACCAGGAAACATTGCCCGAGTTGTTTATAGGCTTTGTTTGCCCTGTTAAATTGGTTGAGCTTTGTTTTATTCTTAAATTAGTAGATCATCCTATATCTGCATTTAGTATTGAGAGAAGACTGAAATTGCAAGTCAAATTATTTCAATGTTATACAGCCCATGCAGCTCTCCAACATTTGTTTTTACTGGAGAGGACTCTGTATTCTGTAAAATTTACACATAGATGTTTTAAGTTTGAGTTCTTGGACTCTGGGTTAGTAAAGGAGATGGGTTTTTATGTATGTCTGAAGTTTAAATATTTCCATAGCCATCGTGACTTCTTTCAAAACAGTCTTCAAGGCTTCATTTTAGAATTAATTAATTGTGTGCTTTTGTAGAGTTTTACCACCGAACAAGATAAACAAGCTCCAGTTTAGAAAGTCAGGAAATTTTTTTTAAGCTTTAGGTAAACAAACCATAGCTTAGAAAGAGATTTTTTTGGTTTAGTTTCATTTTGAGCTTTGAGTAGTCCTGTGAGATCTTTGGATGAAGACAGTTGTGTAGACCAGAGCTCGAGAGTGGAAAGATATAGCGAAATTAGACAACATAAGAGTAAAGAGTTAGTGTGGCTTGAAAGTGGTGGCGTTCCCATGTTTCTGCTGTCCTTGTCCTTCTACATGAAAGTAGTTGTGGGTTTGGACGGTGTTGTCATGGGATCTTTTGGGGAATTTCTGCACTGCATCTTGCAGACTGTCCACAATGCTGCTATCGAGCATTGGTGGTATATTAGTGGATGCGGTGCTAATCAGGCAATTTGATTTGTCCTGGATGGTGTAAGGCTTTTGAGTATTTTTGGAACTGCACCCATCCAAGTAGGTGGGGAGTATCATACTCCTGACTTGTGCCTTGTAGATGATGGATAGGGTTTGGGAAGTCAGGAGGTGAGTTACTCGCCACAGTTTTCTAGCCTCCAACCTGGTCTTGTAGCCAGCGTATTTATGTGGCGAGTCTAGTTAAGTTTCTGGTCAATGGTAACCTCCAGGATGTTGATACTGGAGGATTCAGTGATGGTAACACCACTGAATGTCAAGGGACAGTGATTAGATTGCCTCTTATTGAGGATGGTCATTATCTGGCATGCGTGGTGCATTTGCCTTCGTTGCTAGACCTTTGAATATAGGAGTTGGGACGTTATGTTGAGGTCGTACAAGACTTTGATGAGGCCTCTTCTGGAGTACTGTGTCCAGTTCTGGTCACCCTATTACAGGAAGGGTATTATTAAGCTGGAGAGGGTTCAGAAGAGATTTACCAGAATGTTGCTGGGGGGGTTTGACTTATAATGGAAAGGCTAAATAGGCTGGGACATTTTTCACTGGAGCATAAAAGGTCAAGGGGGTGACCTTATTGGGGTTTATAAAATCATGAGGTGAATAGCAGGTGTCTTTTCCCTAGGGTGGGGGTTTCAAGACTAGGGGGCACATTCTTAAGGTTAGAGGAGAAAGATTTTAAGAAAGACTTGAGGGATAATTTTCTTAAAAAAAAACAGAGTGGGTCATGTGTGGAATGAATTTCCGGAGGAAGTGACGGTGCGGGTACAGTGACAACATTTAAAAGACATTTAGGTAAGTACATGAAGAAGAAACGTTAGGGGGGATATAGGCCAGGTGCAGGCAGGTGGGACTAGTTCAGTTTGAGATTAAGGTTGGCATGGACTGGTTGCACATGAAGGGTCTGTTTCCGTGATGTGTGATTCTATCAATGACCAATCCTGTTGCAAATTATTTTCATAGCCACTACTGGGACGTGGGCACTGCAGGATATTCCAACTAAGAGAGAATGGCCTTATTTTAGTCCATATTATGATCTTAATGTCTCCAATCAACTAAGCGATGACAAACTTGCTGGTGGTCCTACAGGCTAAAAGAGGGAAAGGAACTAATATGCTGTTCCAAGTCATTTTTAATCTCTTTTGAGATGCAGAAAGTTTGATCAGAGAATGACGTCGAGCTTGGAAACTTTCATTTAAATCAGGCCCAGTTTCATAGAATGGTTGTCTCAGAGATGCCAAGGTAGGACAGATGGAGCCAAGGTGACCAGACACGCTTTGAAACTAGGAAAAATGAACCTCGTGACGTTCAAATTATAGTCCCAGGGAGACAGGCTGTGTCACAATGTGCAACATTATCTGGTTTTGTAAATTTACACACCAAAATTAAGTTAAACTTAAAACAACAGGAATAGAACAGGTATCTATGACCAAATGCTACAATGAATAGGTGAATGAAATTATTTGAACCCATCAATTCAAGGAGTGATGGTATATAGTTATTGCTGTGAAAAATGGATGGAAAATTATTTATGGGAACGTTATTGCATTATTGTTATTAATAGGGTCTGGACTTTTCAATCTCAGTTCTGAGAAAGGGTCACCAGACCTGAAACATTAACTCTGATTTCTCTTCACAGATGCTGCCAGACTTGCTGAGCTTTTCCAGCAATTTCTGTTTTTGTTTGTGACTTCTGAATACTGTGTCCAGTTCTGTTTGATCAGTTATAGGAAGGATATTATCAAACTGAGAGGGTTCAGAAAAGATTTACCAGGATGTTGCTGGGTATGGAAGGTTTGAGTTATAAAAGGTTGGATAGCCTGGGACTTTTATCACTGGAATGTAGGAGTTTGAGAGGCAATCTTATAGAAGTTTATAAAATAAGAAGGGTATGGATAGGGTTAATGGTAGTTGTTTTTTCCCTAGGATGGAGGATTTGAAGACCGGGAGCACATTTTTAAGGTGAGAGGAGACAGATTTAAAAGAGAAATAAAAAGCAACATTTTTTATGAACTTACTGAGGAAGTGGTGCAAGTGGGTACAATTACAACATTTAAAAGACATTTGGATAGATAAATGAATAGTAAAAGTTTTAAGGGATGTGGGCCAGAAGCAGGCAGGTGGGACACATTACTCTCTCTATTGTAAACATGGATTCTATGGATCTATGGGTTATTACAAAGAGGGTACTTTCATGCATCTGCCCTATTCTGCTGCATAGCTACACAACCATGCCTCTTGACATCAAACCTAGATACGTTCAATGGCAACAAACACTCAACTGTAGACCACTATGCGATCCTTTGCTCATCATTGCTAATTATTCACCTCATTCTCACGAATACTGCACAAATATACTTGCATAGGGAGCGCGCCATTGAGCTCCTCTAGCCCATTCTGACATTCACTCAGATCATGACCCCAATAAAATCTCAGCTCAGCCTCTGCTATGTTAATGGGGATACCCATTAACAATACCTACTCACCCTGGAGTTCAGTTCTATGAACACTGGCAATTATCCAGCAGCTCGACAAAATAGCCATTCTCCATTTGCAGATTTAAAAATTCACAGGGGGTGGGTTTTAAAATCTTATTTCAAAGATTACGTATGCTTACCAGCAAGGATTACAGAAACCGAGTTCCCCTCTCCAGGAAAAAAAAGGCTAATTGCAAACAAATTCTTATTTATTTCTGCTTTTGAACAAATTCTAAAATGTCAATCTTCCCGCCCCCAACTCCCAAAGTTCCTCCAAAAGAACACACAGTTATATGAATCTCGATTTAAAACTAACACAAATGCACAGTCTGACAATCCTGTGTCTTTAAGATTAGCTCCCAAAACACACACAAAAAAATACAATAAGCCCACACTGTGAAATGTTAAAATTCTGCGCTCGCCAGCCGATTAGAGGAGCTTTGTTTCTGGCAGCTTGATGGATTGCGTTGGGTTAAGAGGGTCTGGTTATCACTTAGTTCAGTTTGCACTGGAGCTATTACGCTTTAAGCTTCCTTCCCGAAACGCAATGCGGTAAAAAGCAATGAGGTAATGCTGTCTGTGTTTTATTGATAGGCAGGGATTCAGTTTCTCCCCCCGCTCCGGCAAGGAGCATGTTTGCAGAGCGCAGCCTTTGAGCGAGCCCTGATACTGCACTGTGTATAGCCGGCACTCGAGACCACCACATACTCACCAACATAGGCACAAGGGGCGGGATCGCTCCCCCTGTCTGCCACACCCTCTCCATGCAACCCGTGCTCAGCAAACTAAAACTGGCAACAAAAGAAACAACCCAGCAACTATTCATAGCATAAAACAAAGAACTATGGATGCTGAGGATCTGAAACAAAAGCAGAGAAGGGTCACTGGAACCTGAACTGTTTCTCTCCCCGCGGATGCAGCCAGACATTTTGATTTTGTCCAGCAATTTCTGTCTGTTTCAAAACTATCGAATTAACCCCACTCCCCTCCCCTTTCCTTTCCCTAAAGTTCAGTCATTTATTCCTCTTCGGCCAGGCTCTAAAGACGAGGCATTAAAGACATCTTTTCTAACAAAAATAATGTTTTGACATGCAAAGAGTTTACAATTCCTCTTTGATGGTAGCAATGAAAGGCCACTTACTGGTATTTTGTTGGGATGCTGGTCTCTGATCTGCTGAACTTCTTTAATTCGATCAGCTGTACCACAAATTAAAAAAAAGATATATTATTCGGAGCTCATCGGTCACTAGGAGAGCTGATTTCTTCAATTGCTCCTTGGCCCACACCTTCCAAATTCATGACCTCTACCATCTGGGAGGATAATGGCAGCAGGTACATGGGAACACCACCTACCTGAAAGGTTCCTGCCAAGCCACACACATCCTGACTTGGAAAGTCTATATATGTTTCTTTACAGGCACTGGGTTAAAATCCTGCAACTCCCCTCCTCACTGCACAATGGGTGTGCCTACAGCCCACAGACAAGAGTCATTCAAGAAGGCAGATCACCACCATGACAAATGACAATGCCAGTGAAACCCACATCCCACTGTAAGTATACACTTAAAAAAATGATATTGATGTATTTTAGACGCCATTTCTGGATCATCACAATGTGTGTAATGAAGATCCCACCTTCTCAACCTTAATCAAGGGGCAGTGACCGTCAGGTTAAACCACCAATGGTCGCTGTCTCTCACAAATGAAAGACCAGCCCTATGGCCCTCTGGGACTATGGTGACTTGACTGAATCAGGGTATTGAATGAGCTCAGTACAGTTCTCTAGAACTAGTTGAGTGGACCAAGGTCCTTTCCTGGAGAAAGGTAAAGTGGGTAGTCCAGGAAGGTCACTGGGCACTGCATAGGGCAAGGTGTGGACATTGTTACAGACTTTCCAGGCACTCGGAGAGGTTGGGGGTCTTCTTTGGTCAAACAATCATTATGGGGAGATAGTGGCAATGTGTTGTTGTTACTGGTCTGATCACCTGGAACCCCATGCTCTAATTGACCACAGCAGATGGTGAACTTAGAATTCAACAAAAATCTGGAAGTTAGCTTAATGCTGACCATGTAGGCACTGTCAGTTTTCTGTAAAAAAAACCCATCTATTTCATCATGCTGTTTAGGGGAAGAAAATCTGCCATCGTTACCTAGTCTGGCACACTTGGGTCTCCAGACCACAGTGGCTCAGTGGTTAGCACTGCTGCCTCACAGCACCAGGAACCCAGGTTCAATTCCACATTTGGGCGACTGTGTGGAGTTTGCACATTCTCCCCATGTCTGTGTGGGTTTCCTCCCACAGTTCAAAGATGTGCAGGCTATGTGGATTGGCCATGCTAAGTTGCCCATAGTGCTCAGGGATGTGTAGATTAGGGGGATGGGTCTGGGTGGGATGTTCTGAGGGTTGGCGTGGACTTGTTGGGCTGAATGGCCTGTTTCTACACTGCAGGGATTCTATGAACTAAAGACCCACAACAATATGATTGACTCTTTACTATTCTCTGAAATGCCACTCAATCCAGAGCAATTCGGGATGGGCAAGAAATGCTTGATGCCCACCTCCCATGAACGAATGAAAACAAGGCTGTCCAAGATCAGTTCAAGTGGGGGAGAAAGGTGGGTCTGCAGAAAGGGGTTCACAACACAGTACTGTATACAGCTTCTGCATCATGAGTTGACATTGGCTATACACCAATATCTCCCTAGATCAGGTGCAGTGTTACTCCACAACAATATAGTCAATGCATTTGGAAGCAAGGTGAAGGAAGTAAGGAAAGTCCTTCAAGGGTCCAATAGCCTCCAGATCTTCATTCAGAAAAACTGAAGGCAGGGAAATCAACAGAATGTGGTGATGAACAATAAGAGCCAACAAGACTTTCAGTTTTGGCAAAGATGATTGCAGCTTCCAAGTTAATTAACAAGGCCACGTCTTATTGACACATTAGGAAAGTTTTAGTCTTTTTAAGTGAGTTTGGTACAATGTAGTAACATCTGGCACTTAAGCAATCTGGACAATAAAGGACAAAGTGTCTCCTAATTGATTTATTGGATCATTGTATTTTTCTACAATATTGCTTGTCAATGTTATGGAGCATCTAGATTTTATAGGGTAGGAGCGATACATTTACACTCATGTTGAAGGAGAGAAAAAAAAGTGCAGTATTGAAAACTACAATGTAGTGATACTAGTCAGAAAAAATTAATTTACATATAGCCATTCCACTAAGTCTTGTTTTACCTAATAAAAGGAAAAGGAAATTACAGATTTTTGTGAAGTCTGAAATCATCTTAGAGAAACAAACAGGGTTCAACTGCCCTGGAGATAACCCATCTCAAACTAGGCCTCAGCTCAGTAACCGTCATAAAATAATGATGGTTTCAAATATCTCCAATATCTGCGACATTAGTGTGGGAAAGCAAAAACATTTTATTCCCTCAAAGTTGGCACATTGCAAATGATGAAAACACATTGAAATCTCAGTCTCTGAGGGAACCCTAATTAGCTCCTATTATTTTAACTAAAATACATTATAACCTATTGCATATACACCATTTGTCACACTCTTAACCTAAACAGTCATCATATTTTTATTTAATGGTAATTGAATAAAATGACTCACCCGTTAAACAGATAATAGAAAAAAAGATCTTGGCAGTAGCTGTTTTGCTTTATAAATCAGTGCCAAACATGTAACTGAACATAAAGAGAAATGATTTCTGCCTTTATTTTCGCCAAACACAAAACGAGTTACCCTCGGTGTTTATAGTGAATTTGTAAAAATATCTGGGCCAAAATGTAAAGATTGAATGTTTTAAACCTCCCAACGTTTATTGCAGTACTCAATGACAAATCATTTAGTTTCTCTTTAAAAGAATCTATTTTTAAACATAAAACGACCAGATTATCCAAAGTCAAAACAGAATTTGTCAAAATGTTCTAACTACGTTTTGCATTGTTGGTTAGAAAACGAAAGATCTGTAAAGTTGGAGCAAGGAGATGAATTTCCATTGTTACTAAAACAGGATCTAAAAAGGGGCGATTTTCCTGTAAAAATGGCTTCCAAAATATGAACAGAACAACAATAAACCTTCACGTCCTTCAGGAAGCCCTATCCCACGAATTATCATAAGGATAGCTTCAGACACTGTTACAAAAACGACATATCGATCAATGATTCACAAATATTAGGCAGATTCATTCCGGATATTGAGAAAAAGGTGAGGAAATAATTGAAATTCACTTCAACACCAACAAAAAAACATGTTTAAGTGCAAAGATTCTGAGGATTAGGGTGCGTGCACGCATTGTCCTCAGGCCACCCCTGATCTCCAGAGAGCTTTCCCTTTGTTAAACTATTGGAGACGTTTCCATCCTTGCTGCCTGCAACCGATCCCTTTCTTCTATTTCTCCTCTCGCTACCCCCTCCCCCTTCTCTCTCACTGATCTGCCTGTGTCCTTTTAGCAGCTGTTTAAAAGAATCCACACCGGTATATCCCCTCCACCCCTACCCCAGTCAGCTGAGAGAAGGTCAAAGGCAAATTGGAGAGAAAAATAAAAACAGCAAGTCCCGCAGAGAAAAGGGGGAGGGTGGTGCTGTGTGGAGGAGGAGAGACAGGGACACACACACACACATACACAAGACACATTCTTCCCCAAGTGGTATATTTCTCCCCCTTCTCTCTCGGTCGGTCGGTCTCCTCTTTGCTCCCCGTGCTGCTCGACCACCTACCGAAGCTTCTTCTCTGTTTGAATGACTTGTCAGAAGGCATTTTCTGAGCAGGAGAACCCGAGAATAATCAGCTAAAGCGGACGGTGCAGTTCCTGATGTGTCCAAACACAGAGCGATGTAACAAACCGCATCACGTGAACACTTTGACGTCAACGCAAAAGATACTTCAAGGGGAGGACCCGGGGAAGAAAGTGACAAGTTCTCCAGTGTTCAAACACCACCCCCCTCCTCTCCTTCCTCTCACAAACCCCCAGGGAACAGCGCACTTCATCGCTTTGTTTTCGGTTGAAGACCAGCCGTTGAACGGCATTCGAACGAAACACAACAATCTTAACTTAGATCATTTTACATTCAACGACAAAAGATTGTTACAGTTATCCTGATGTGTCGGTTTTAATTCTTACGGAACTTGCTCGGCAAAAGGTGTGGACTTATGTTCGCTTGCAGTGATAAATTATCACGCCGTTCGTTGATCTTAGTGGACACACGGAATAGTTTTGTTTTCTTCACCTTTAAAGCGTGTAGGTTTTTATTTAAAACAAAACCAGAAATTGCTGGACAGACTCAGCAGGTCTGAAGAAGGGTCACTGGACTCGAAATGTTAACTTTTGCTGTCTCCACAGATGCTTCCAGACCTGCTGAGTTTCCCCAGCATTCTCTGGTTTTGTTTGTTTCAGCTCTTCAGCATGCGCGGTTCTTAGTTTTTAGGTTTTTTTTCCTCTCTAGTGACTCAGTATTTGGGTGAGGTCACAGGTCCATTCGGAAGATTAATTAACGCTTTGATGTGATACTGAGAACTGACATTGCTGAAGTGGTTTAAACCTTCATCCGCCATCTCCACAGACTGCCTTAAGATGAAATTTGATAAAGATGACATGGAGAAGATGTGGCGGAGACATAAATTGAATGTGGCACAAATATAAGATCATCGTCACTCCAGTAGATAATTGAAAAGAAATGACTTTATCCAGAGCATGCAGAACCGAAAGGAAGCAATTAACACAGGGTTTTATGAAATTGCTTTTTGAGATGTGAGAGTCACTAACAAGGCCAATATTTATTGCCCATTCCTAATTGTTTCTGACCACTACCTTCTTGAACCATTGCAGAGAATGTGGCATTGGTGCACCACTGTGCTGTTTTTCTGTAGCAGTTTTGTGCAACTTATTAGCCTGCTACAAAAACAGAAATGATTTGAGAAACTCAGCAAGTCTGGCAGCATCTGCAGCTTGGACTCAAAATGTTAACTCTACTTTCTCTCTGCAGATGCTGCCAGACCTACTGAGTTTTTCCAATCATTTCTGGTTTTGTTCCAGATTTCCAGCATCCGCAGTTTTTTTGTTTTATTTTAGTAGCTTGCTAGCTCATTTCAGAGGGCAGATTAATCAGGCACAGTACGGTGTGTCTGTAGGCTAGGCCAAGCTAGATTAAGACAGTAGATATACTCTCCTCTGGAAAAATAGCATATTTGCTTTTAACAGAAAACAACAAATGCTGGAGATCACAGCAGGTCAGACAGCATTCATGGAGAGAAAGCAAGCTAATGTTTTGAATCTAGATGACTCTTCAACAGAATTTGATTTTAATATAGCAAAACAGTAGTTTCATGATTGTTATTAACAATTTCAATAAAGACTTACAAATTAATTAAATTTAAAATCTAGTTACCCAGGCCGAAATCATACCATTGGAGCAGGCCCTGAGGGGGCAACGGGATATGCTCCTCAGACAGAAATGAATACAATGACTCTCTGATGGGGAAGATGAAGCGGGGCAGGATGAGGCTTATTTGGAGTCGAAACAACAGCACAACCCAATTGGATCAAATGACCTGTTTCAGTGCTGCCATTGCTGGGTAGTTCTGAGTCAGGTTATTGTTCCATTTACAGCTCCCACCCACCTCACACTGCCCAAATTCCACCCCAGGTGCAGACTAAACCACCATTCTCACTGTGAAGTGTAATTCTTATTTAACTTCATGAAGGATGAGAACTCACCAGTAGGAAATAGTTTTGTCCATGCAGTATTTTTATATAGAGATAACAAGATGTAGAGCTGGATGAACACAGCAGGCCAAGCAGCATCAGAGGAGCAGGAAGGCTGACATTTCGGGCCTAGACCCTTCTTCAGAAAGACCGTTCTTGATTCTCCAGCATCTGCAGTTCCTACTATCTCTGAAACAGTATTTTTATATGTCACTTTTACCCGTGTTTGTTTCTCTCCTGTAAAACCCAGATGATAAATATCAGATGAAATTAACCTGTATCTCATACACTGGGTTTTACAGTAAGTTACTGCAGTGTTTTACCATGTTCACAGTCGCACGTTATGTTTAGTTGAATTTTGCATCATCATCTGGTAATAACTTGGAAATATCAGACCCTCCATGATTAGTTGTCGTTCCTGTGAGGCAGGATGTGTGTTAGCAGCTGTATAATAGAATTAGTGTGAGATCTCATTTCAGGTGGAACTATGATTTAAAAAAAACATTCTTTGAGTGATGAACTCAGAAGTATCTTACTGATTAATTGTGTGTTAATTGTGTTCAGATGATGGGCATTAACTGTGACAGGATTTGAATCTGTATGGACACAGACTAATACCACATGATTTTCTTAGGAAGTCATAGAGATATACAGCACAGAAATAGAGCCTTTAGTCCAACTCATCCATGCCAACCAGACATCCCACTCTGACCTAGTCCCATTTACCAACATTTGTCCCCTATCCTGCTAAACCCTTCCTATTCATCCCATCCAAATGCCTTTTAAATCTTGTAACTGTACCAGCCTCCACCACCTCCTCTGGCAGCTTGTGTCATATATGCACCACCCTCTGCATGAAAAAGTTGTTCTTTAGGTCCCTTTTAAATCTTTTCTCTCTCATCTTAAACCTATGCTCTCTCCTTTTTGGCTCTCCCACCCTAGGAAAAAGACTTGGCTATTCACTGTAATGATGCCGCTCGTGATTTTATAAACCTCTATAAGGTCACCCTCAGCCTCCAATACTCCAGGGTTAAAAGCCCCAGCATATTCAGCCTCTCCCTATAGCTCACACTCCCCAGAGCCAGCAACATTCTTGTAAATCTTTTCTGCACTCTCAAGTTTAATAACATCTTTCCTATAGTAGGGCGACCAGAATTGCACACAGTATTCGAAAAAGTGGTCTCACCAATGTCCTGAACTGCCGCAACATGATGTCCCAACTCCTATACTCAATGCTCTGACCAATGAAGGCAAGTGTGCCAAATGCCTTCTTCACCATCCCTATCCACCCACTTTCAAGGAACTATGCACCTGCAAGCCCTAGGTCTCATTGTTCAGCAACACTCCCCAGAGCCCTAACATTAATTGTATAGGTCCTGTCCTGGTTTGGATTACCAAATTGCAACACCCGAGTTTATCTAAATTAAACTCCATCTGCCACTCCTCGGCCCATCGGCCCAGCTGATCAAAGTCCAAGTGTGCTCTGAGATAATCTTCTTCATTGTCCACTACACCAATTATTTTGGTGTCATCTGCAAACTTGACTAACCATGCCCCGTATATTCACACCTAAATCATTTGTATAAATGATGAAAAGCAGTGTGTTGTATGCTTATTCTGTGTAAATCTGTAAATAAATATAAAAGTGTGTGAACATTGGTGCCAGTTCTATCTTTCTTCAACTGGCTTTCACAAATAGGACATCACTAACGTCTTCATAACTTGCACAAATGGCAAAAATGGTCAACAGAAAGCTTCAAAGGGATAGAACTCAAAATAGTTTGCTTTTATGTAATGCTTTTTACACCCACCACAGAATGTATCAAAGAGTTTTACAGCCAAACCAATACTTCTGAATCAATTTCACTGTTGTAGGAATTGTGGGAAAAATGGCAAATGACTTGTGTAGATCAAACTTCCACAAACAGCACTCTGAACATGACAAGATAGCCTGTGTTTTGTAATATTGATTGAGAGATGTGTAAACATTGGCAAGACACCAGGATCCTGAAGAAGAGTCAGGAGTCATACTTGAAATGTTAACTTTGTTTGCCTCTGCACAGAAGCTGCCAAACCTGCTGAGTTTCCCAGCAATGTTTTTATGAGAGTGATAACTTTACTGATTTCATCAAGTTTGTACTCTGGGATCTTTTACATCCTCGTGTCTGGCAGCCAGGGCTACAGATTAATGTTTCATCACAGATAACTTCACTAAAGGCAGAGAAGCTAAATGCATTTGTACAAAATCAAAACACTGCAGATGCTGGGAATTTGAAATTTAGACAGAAGTGCTGCAGAACTGTCAGGCAGCATCTGTGGAGAGAAAAACAGAATTAACATTTTGAGTCCAATATGAGTCTTCTTTGGAACTGATTCTAATGCTTCTTCAACAGATGCTGCCTGACCTGTTAATTCCTACAGCACTTTCTGTTTTTATTGCATTTATATAGTGCCCTTCACAGGAATTGTTGAATGTGGTCACTATTGTAATGTAGAAAATATACCTGCCAATTTGCACACGGCGAACTCCCACAAACAGCAATGTGATACTAACCAGATAATCTAATGTTGCAACGTGCATTGACGAATAAATATTGCCCAAAACACCAGCGATAAGTCCCTAACTCTTCTTCAAAATAGAGCCATAGAGTCATCAGAGCGTACAGCATGGAAACAGGCCCTTCAGCCCAACTTGCCCACGTCACCCAGTTTTCATAATTAAACTAGTCCCTTTTGCCTGCATTTGGCCCACATCCCTCTTTACCCATCCCATCCATGTACCTGTCTAAATGTTTCTTAAATGACAAAATTGTAATTGCTTTCACCATCACCTCTGGCAGCCTGTTCCAGACACTCACTACATTCTGTATGAAACATTGCCCCTCTGGATCCTTTTGTATCTCTCCCCTCTCACCTTAAACATATGCCCTCTAGTTTTAGATTTCCCTACCATGGGGAAAAGCTGTTGGTCATTTACCTTATCTATGCCTCTCCTGATTTTATAGACCTCTACGTAAGGTCATCCCTCAGTCTCCTATACTCCAGGGGAATAAAAGTCCCAGCCTATCCAACCTCTCCTTAAAATTCAAACCTTCTAGTCCAGGTAGCATCCTAATAAATCTTTTCTGCACTCTTTAGTCTCATGGCATTCGTTATGTCTATC